AATATATTTTTTAAGAGGCATGCTTAAAACAACTTAAAAATTAGGATTTAAATTTAAAAAAACATACACAACTATCTGTACTCCCAAGTTCTCATTTTAGTTCCCAATTGGTCTCATTTACAAACTCACATTATCTATCATTTAGAATATTCAACAAAATAAATTTATTATTCAGAATATTCTCATTCTCAGTGCTATCAAGTTGAAATCAACCCATAGCTAACACTCCTCTGAGTTTCTAGGGCTGTAAATCATACAGGAGATTGTCTCTCTTATTGTTGGAGTACTAGGGTATTCAAACCAGAGACATGCCCTTTCAGTTAGCGGTGCAATTGTCTCCAGAATTCCTATTCAGAATATTAGTAACTAGAATCGGAAAAACCTACATAATTTACATTATTTTTTTTACATTATTGTAAACTTTTAAACAAAGGGAAACATTAAAAATATTTATCGCAAAAAAAAAATATTTATCGCTTGACTCTATAGGTAATGAGAAAGAACAGATTTCCTCTTGGCTACAATCTAGCCCAAAGATTAGTGAGTGAACTAACAATATAAGAAATGAAAATCAAAGCAATGATGAGATACCATCTCACTCCAGCAGCAATTAATTATAACGTTTAACAGGACAGCAAACAGTGTTGGCAGAGATGCAGAGAGATTCAAATTCACATGCACTGCTGGTAGAGATTTTAAAATGGTACAACCTCTATGAAAAACTGTTTAACATTTCCTATTTGAATACACTGTTGTTGTTGTTGTTGTTATTGTGTGCCATTAAGAGTTGGAACGGTTTCACTGTTGATTATCCAGATTTTGTGAGGGTTTTTCTCATGAGATGAACTGCCCATCCTTCTCCCACAGACCAACTGGCAGATTCAAACCACATGCTTTTAGGACTGCAGTGCAGTCCCTGACCACTAGGTTAATAGAGCTCTTTCTGTATTTCTATTATTTTAATTGTGTTTGTTGTATACTGTTGAGTTGAAACAAACTCAAAGTTGACACTCCAGCAGGTTTACAGAGGCAGTTGAATAGCACAGGAAGAAACTGCCATCTTTTTCCTGTAGTGTATTTCAACTGTTTGTCTTTGGGCCTGCAGCACAGATCCTTACCACTAGCCCACCAGAGCTTCCTCTATTTGAATACAGAAATATCCTACAACCCAGTTATTCCAGTACTAGGAACATACACCAAGGGAATCAGAACTGAAGCACAAAAGGAGATATGTACACCTGTGTTCATCGCAGTATTCACAATAGCAAGAAAAGGTAAACAGACCAAATGTCTGTCAACAAACTGGTAACAGAAATTGTGATGCATTCACACAAAAATTTAAATCTTAGCCTTAACAGTGGTAAAATGGGGTCATCTACTTTTTTCCCTCCTCTATGAGTACCATGCCTCAATACTAGGAAAAGGAGTAGTTGCTTTCTATCTCTGCTATTCTGTAATCATCAGAGCTCTATCTCTTAAAGATTAATTTCTCAAAAATGTTTTTGTTATGTGCCATCAAGTCATGTATAACTCATAGAGACCCTATGTAAAACAGCTCTAAACACTGTTGTCAACCTTATTGTCTCTGACACTCCTACCCTCATCACCCCAGTCACTAAATCGATCCATCTCATCCAGGGTCTTCCTCTCTTGTGCTGTCCTCCACCCTCCCAGGCATGATTTCCTCTCCCAGGACTGGTCCATCCTTGGAACATGCACAAAGTGTGCCAGACAAAGCTTCAGAATCCTTGACTACAAGGAGCACCCTGGTTTTACCCTCTCTAGGATAAACCTGTTTGTTCTCTTAGCAGTCCATGGTATATTCAATACTCTTCTCCAGCACCACTGCTCAAAGGCACCAACTCTCTGTCATCTCTAGTCCTTATCTAGCTTTCTGATGCACAACAAGTAATTATGAAGACCATAGCCTGGATCAGGGGCATCTTGGTCTCCAGACTGACATCACTGTTTCTCA